AAATAGTCTCTTTAATGTCAATCCCAAAGCATTTTATAGGGAGCTGCGAGAAGGAAAAGGGAACCCATTGAAGCTCCAGCCATCTCTACAACTGAAACGTATTGGAAAAGTATTTTCGAGAAAAGTGTTAACCACAACGAGAACGCAAAGTGGCTGAAAAAGGTAGAAAGGGATAGAGCCACAACATGAGCTGGCAAAATATCAGTGTCGTGGAAGTCAGATCAGCACTACAGCAGGCCCAAAATTGGAAAGCCCCTGGTATAGACCAGATACCTAATTTCTGGCTGAAACATCTAGTGTCCACACACGAAACAATAACAATGATATATAATAGTTACCTCGATAACGGAACAGATATCCCGAACTGGCTGCCAAAGGGTAAAACATACCTTCTTCCAAAGTCTGGAGATAGTAAGGACCCCAAAAATATAGGCCTATCACCTGTCTGAACACCTTGTACAAATTGTTAACTAAGTAGTAGCCAGCAGAATATCTGATTATGTAAATGATAATAAGATAATACCAACAGAACAAAAAGGCTGTGGCAAGGGCCTCTTTGGTTGCAAGGATCAGCTACTCCTCTCGAAAGCCATTGTAGAAGATTGTAAAGAGAACAAAAAAAATCTTAGCATTGGATGGATTGATATAGAAAGGCATTCGACAGCGTCCCGCACAGCTGGCTCCTGAAATCTCTGAAGCTTATAGGAACATCTGAGAAGATCATTGATCTATGTAAGCGATTGATTTCGCTATGGAGTACTACCCTGTTAGTCAGTAATAATGGGGAAGAAATAGAGTTAGGACCCATACAGATAAAAAGAGGTATATATCAAGGTGATACCTTGTCACCTCTTCTGTTTGTGATTGCGATGGTTCCTTTAAGTACGCTGCTCAACGAGGCCAACCTAGGTTACCAACTTAAAGGAGCAAATGATTGTCTCTCCCATTTGCTATATATGGATGACCTGAAGCTCATATCTCCCAGCCAAAACAAACTGAAAACGTCTCTCAATATTGTAAAAAAATTTAGCGACGACATACAGATGAGCTTCGGTCTCGATAAGTGCGCTGTAGTCACATTCAGGAGAGGAATGCATTATGACTCTGCTAATATAATAGTTGATGAAGGAGACGATCAAATCACTAGAGCATGGCGGAGTGTACAAGTACCTGGGAATTAAAGAAGGCTCACACATCACCCACGATTCACTGAAAGTTGATATTAGACATGAGTATATAACGAGAGTACGTAAAATTCTGCAAACTCAACTCACGTCTAGAAACAAGATAACAGCAATTGGAGCTCTTGCCATACCAATCATGCAGTACAGCTTTGGTATAATCAATTGGACATTGGATGACATAAGACAAATGGATCGCAAACAAGAAAACTAATGACAACACATAATATCCCTCATCCCAAAGCAGACATCGACAGATTATACGTGCCACGAAAGAAAGGGGGACGAGGACTAAAGCAAATAGAAGAAACGTACAACAATACTATCTTCTCAGTAGGGCAGTATATTCAAACTAGATCTGAGCAAGACCGCCTACTACAGATGTTACTAGCACATGACAATAGGAAACCAACAAATAGATCTATTGTAAAGCGTAGTAATAAGATCAAATTAGAAGCTGCGGAAGCCGGACATACGGTCGAGCGAGGTAACAGGTCATCAAACTGTACTTGAAGCAATGTGTCGAAGAGAAATGGCGGAGTAAGCCTCTACACGGACAGCATATCCGTCAAATGGAGGAGCTTCCGGTTGACTTAAGACTGTCATCTGGATGGTTACAGTACGGAGATTTAAAAGGGGAAACGGAAAGCTTGCTGGTGGCAGCACAAGATCAAGCCTTGAAAACGCGTTACATTGAGCAAGCAATACACAAGACGAGGAATGACGGTAAATGCAGATTGTGTCACATTCATAATAAAACTGTTGAACATATAATATCTGCATGTCCAATACTAGCGCCAAAAGAATATACTGACAGGCACAATATTGTCTGCGCAGCCATCCATCTAGAAGTGTCTCGCCACCTTGGTTGTCCAATAAAATCGACGAAATGGTATGAGCATCACCCCGACAGAATAACACGAAGTGAAGATGGTAGTATCACAATAATGTATGACCATCCCGTTATCACGGATAGAGAAATAAAAGCAAACAGACCAGATATTGTTATAAAAACCACCGAAATATGCTATATAATTGATATATCGATACCTGCAGATAGACATGTCATACAAAAGGAGGCTGAAAAGCAACTAAAATACAAATCATTACTCATAGAAGTGCAAAGAATGTGGCATACAAAGGCAGTTGTTATTCCCGTAGTGATTGGTTCAACTGGATATGTCACTCGCAACATCCTAGATAACCTAAAAAGGATACCAGGAGATCATAATTTCTATCAGTTATTAGGCACATCGCACATAATTAGGAAAGTTATAACATAACCAGCTCATAAATACAAAGATCTGTACCCCTCAGCTCCTCGGCGAGGACCCGGTGCAGAGGTCAAACCATTCCATATAATACTAATAGAAAACGGTCCTGTAGCGTGAAAAAAAAAAGATGAAATAATAATAATATAATTATAATAATAATAATAATAATAATTATTATAATTATATTAAGAATATTGATAACAATAATATAATAAAAAATAATAATAGTAATAATATAATAATTATTATAAGAAAATAATTAAATAATGATTATAATAATAATAATAAAAGTTATAATAATACTTATAATATAATATAATAATAATAAGTATAATAATATTAATAATAATATAATAATAATTAATAATAATATAAAATAATAAATATTATAATTAATAATATTTTATTATTAATAATAATTATTATTATTATAATAATAATAATTATTACCATAATAATAAATTTACCGGAAATAGAAAATCAAGCGGTCGAGGATGAAGAAGAATTACTGTCTACAGATATTAAGTCCATGACAAGGAAGACCTTGAAGGATAAATGGATACGAAAGCAGCTTCATGGTCAATACGTGAAGAGAATTAAGAGGCCAGGGATTAATGAATGCCAAACGTTTGCGTGGCTCACGAGAGGGAAGGTAAAAGGCCCTGATAACGGCCGCCCAAGACCAGGCCTTACGTACAAGACAAAAATGGTATAATCACAACCCCACTCCAGTAGTTAGTAAAGATGAGATTACCGTAATATATGCCTTACCAGTGCAAACAGATCGTGAGATATCCGCGAGCCGTCCAGACATAATCGTCAAAAACCAACGTGACAAAACCTGCCTGTTAATAGATGTTTCAGTCCCCAACGATGAAAACGTTGTAAACAAAGAAGCTGAAAAGAAATTGAAATACAAAGATCTCTCAATTGAAATCCAAAGGATGTGGAATCTGAGGACGAAGATAGTTCCCGTAATTTTAGGTGCTTTAGGGACGATCCCAGACAATCTACATGAAAACCTAAATCTCATACCAGGAAGGCACAGGGCAGCAGACGTGCAGGAGATTGCTTTTTATGGTACAGCAACCATATTACGTAAGACACTATAAGGTAATGGACTTCGTTAGGATGTGGGTAACATCTTCGAAGTACCATAATGAAAATGACCAACCAAAACCGGCCCACATGGACAGAACCAGTTGAATAGATAGGAATGTGGAAAATAAACAAATAATAATAATAATAATAATAATAATATAATAATAATAATAATAATAATAATAATAATAATAATAATAAAATAATAATAATAATTATAATAATAATATAATTACTTTTCATCCAATCCAGGGACATGTGTTTATCTACATTGGTTTTGTGTAGGTTATTGTAGAACTGTCCATGGAGTGGTTTCGATTTTAGGGCGTTGACTTTTTCTGTTCGCATGGCCTCCTTTACTCTGAGTTTCAAGTTGTCCGCTGACTGATCTTCGTTCAATTTGTATGCATATTGTCTTTTCATGGCTTCCCCGATCTTTGTAATGGAGTATTTAGCCTTTTGTTGCTCATGCAATAGCACGAACTTGATGAAAAGTACAGGACTGAAGGCGGAGACTGAAAGTCTACTGATTGCTGCACAGGACCAGGCACTTAACACGCGCTACCATAGAAGAATGGTCCTGAAACAGAATGTCGACAGCAAATGCAGAATATGCCATCAATGTGAGGAACATATAAGCCACATTATTTCAGGCTGCTCAACACTGGCACCAACAGAATACACCGAAAGGCACAACAACGTCGCTAAATACATACACTGGGCTATCCTCAAGCAGCACCAAGTACCAGTTAGCAACAACTGGTATGATCATTCTCCTGAAGCAGCAGTAGAGGCAGACGAAGCATTAATTATGTACGACAAAGGAGTCATTACCGACCGTACGATTTCCGCCAACCGACCTGATATTATTTACCATCATAAAACACAGAACACATGTCTGCTAATTGAGGTATCTGTACCAGACGACAACAACGTCAACACCAAAGAAGCGGAAAAGGCCAGAAAATACAAAGACCTCGAAATCGAAATATCGCGCATGTGGAAGACAAAGACAAGAACGGTACCCGTGATCATCGGAGCTTTGGGGACTGCCACTATGTCATTCAAGAACAACATAAAAGAACTCCCCGGAGATGTCTTTGCAACACAAGTTCAAAAGATAGCACTGCTAGGAACAGCCCACATTTTGCGGAAAACCCTTTCCGACTAAAGACCTTAGAACTCAGGCAGAGTTCCGGTCAAGCTCATCCCTTCCTCTAGGAGTGAAATACAGAATAATAATAATTATAATAATAAGTATTATAACAATAACAATAATAATTATAATTTATAACAGAAGCTACAACGATGGATTGAAAAACCTCTACATGGGAGACATGCAAACGAGATTAGCCAAGAAAACGTTGACAAGAAAGCGTCAAACTATTGGCTTACCTCAGGCCAAATGTTCCCTGAGACTGAGGGATTCCTTGTAGCTATACAGGACCAGGTCATCCCTACCAACAATTACAAGAGGTTCATACTTAAGAACTTGCAACAGTCTGATAAATGCAGGTACGGCTGTCAGGACTCCGAAACACACGTAACTGGTGGATGCCAAGCATTCGCTCCAACGGACTATAAGGAGCGCCACGACATAGCTGCCAAAATCATTCACCAGGAGTTGGCATACAAATTAAAACTGACCGAATGTAAGCTACAGTACTACAAATATACACCGCAATGTGTCCTCGAGAACGACAAGTATAAACTATACTGGGATCGCACTGTGCTTACGGATCAATACATAAAACAAAACAGACCTGACATAATCATTGTCGACAAGGGCGCCCAGAAAGTAACACTGATTGATGTGGCCATACCTAATAGTAACAATTTAACATACAAAAATAATGAGAAAGTTGCAAAATACAGGGAGCTAGAATTTCAAATTAAACGCCAGTGGAAAATGAAGTACGTGGAAACAATACCAATAATAATGTCATCTACAGGGGTGATACCAAGAAGCCTGCTAGAAAACATCAAAGCACTGGAACTGAGTGAAAACATTCACAAAATCATACAGAAAGGAGTTTTGCTGGCAACTGCCCGCATAGTAAGAAAATTTATGGGAAATGCAAGTACCTAGTGAGGTCACTACTGAGGCTTACCCCTTTGATGCTTGAAACGTCCGGGTTAAGCCAGAACACCCCGATTAATGGGAGTAACAAAGCCCTACGGCTATAAAAAAAATAATAATAATAATAACAATAATAATAATTATAATAATAATAATAATAATATATTTATAATAATAATAATAATGATAATAATTATAATATAATAATATTAATAATAATAATAATATAATAATAATTATAATAAAAATAATAATAATAATATTGATAACAATAATAATAATATAGTAGTAATAATTATAATAATAATAATATTAATATTAATAATAATAATAATAATAATGATAATAATATTAGAATAATAATAATAATAATAATAGTAGTAGTTCTTGCGATTATGCAGCATCGACTACTGGGTCATTAGTTGCGTGTCATTATGTGATTCAGTTTTGGTTGAGTGTAATTAGAGTTTCCAGTAAAAGCCCGTGCATTTCAGAAACGATATCGTGCTTTTTATTAGATCAGGCTTTTTCAGATTTTCTGCGAAATCTCTTGACAGACCAAAACTGTATCTAAGGTTGCTTAATGCTGGACATTCTATCATAATATGCATTGCAGTTAATCGTGCCTCGCATGACGGACAATTTGGATGACCTTGGCCCGAGAGTAAGTAGGAATGTGTCAATGCTGTGTGGCCCAAACGCAGTCTATGTATCCGGACGGCTTCTTCTCTACTGATCTTGACGTTAGGTGTCCATTTTGTTACATCAGGTTTTATTGTTCTTAGCTGAGTAGGTTCATTGTTCCACTGTCTTTGCCATGCTTCTGTTATACATTGTCTAATTTTCATTTTCATGTCTGGTGCTATCACTATTGTACAGTCTATTTCAGTTGCGGCAGCAGCCTGCCTTGCAGATTGATCTGCCAGTTCATTTCCTAGTATACCTACGGGTCCTCGTACCCATATAAAGACTACCCTCTAGTCGCCATCCATCAACACCTTTAATGTCTGAAGACATGCTAAGATTAATGGATCACGGGAATAACGATTTGACATAGCATGTAGGGTGCTCAAAGAATCACTGACTATAAGAGTAAGGTTGCTTTTCGACTCTATCTGGCAGTATTTAAGCGCCTGTAGAATTGCATACTGTTCGGCTGTGAAGATCGATGTCATTGCTGGGAGAGTCCATAAATGGGCCACCCCGTTTATGATAATCGAGCAACCAACTCCTGAGGCAGTTTTCGAACCGTCTGTGTAGATGGTTTCGGCACATGTGTACTGTTCCAGGATACCTTGAAAATGAGACCTCAGTAAGTTGTACTGTTGGTGTTTCCTTTTTGTGAAATTTTAACTTTTGCAGATGGGATCTGCCAAGATGGGGTTTCATTTTTGACTGGATAAACTGGCATTTTAGTCAAATTTAGCTCTCGAGATATTTCACAAATTCTCACACTGAGGGGTCTTGTGATAGTAGGCCTTCTATTATAGGTTTCATCATACATACTTAACAGAGAGAAATTCCGATGGTGTGGCGTAGCAGATGTACTGACTTCGTATGAGAGTACGAGTCTTTTTCTCCTTAGAGTTAATGGCTCGACGGCTGCTTCAGCGCAAAGGCTAGCTGCTCTCGTTGTACGGAATGCTCCAAGGCAGCACCGTAGTCCTAGGTTTGGGATTAATTGGCCTTGTAGATAAAGTAGTGGCCCATCATGCTGACGTTGGAGTCTGCAGAAATGTACGCACTTTGTTTTGGTATTTGACAATGTGAAACCACTGTTTATCGCATTTTGGCTTATTTGGTTTATTGCTGTCTGCAAGCTACCAGAAATTTCTTCAATGGAAGGGCCTGATGATAGTATACACAAATCATCGACGTATAGACATCTGTCCACCACCGGATTTATGGACTCGGCAAGTTTATTAATAGCAATCGCAAAAAGCGTACAGCTAAGTGTCGATCCCTGTGGTATTCCATTTTCCAAGGTGTGGACTGTTGCAAGAGTGTTTCCTACACGTACTTGCAAACGCCTGTCTGTAAGGAAGGATTTCAAAAATTTTGGGAGATTTCCTCTAAAGCCCCAATTGTGCAGTTGGTATAGAACATCATATCTCAAGACCAAATCAAAAGCTTTTTCTATGTCTAAACACATAGCTACTGTATGGTGACGGTTTTTAAACCCATTTTGGATGACATTCTCTACATAGACAAGTTGATCCACTGTAGACATATTTTTTCTAAATCCTGCCTGGTAATCAACAAGTAAGCCATTTTTTTCAAGAAACCACGACAGGCGCTCATTTACCATTCTCTCTAATATTTTTCCGAGACAGCAAGTAAGACTTATGGGCCTGTAACTTTCAGGCAAGAGTGGATCCTTTCCGTGTTTAAGAATGGGAATGACGATTGCAAGTTTCCAGTCTTTTGGGTATATTCCTGCAAGACATATCCTGTTGTATATGTTGAGGAGAGTAAGCTTGACATGGAGAGGAAGATGACGGATCATCTCATAATTTACCATATCCGGATCAGGAGCTGATCGATTTGTCTTTTTTAAGGCTTCTTCTAGCTCAAACAGTTGGAATGGCTCATTATACGCTAAAGATACGTCTGTTGAAAAGTCTAGTGGTATTTCCGTTGCATTTTTGGTGGACCTGAACTCGCGACTATAGTTTTCCGAGCTGCTGACGGTAGCAAATGTATCTGCTAGTAAATTACACACCTCATTTGTGCTATTAATGATGTTGCTGTTACAGGTCTGCAGATGTGTGATTTGCCTAACTGATTGTCTACCATACACGGCTCTGACTTTATTCCATACTTCACTTGCTGTCGTTTCAGTAGTAATAGTGGAGACATATTCTTTCCATGATTTTCTCTGGCTTTCTAGAATAAGACGTCGCGCTTTAGCTCTAGCTTTCTTAAAAGATATCATGTTTGATACCGTGCAGTTCCTCTTAAAAATATTAAGTGCACGCTTTTTTGATCTCACGGCATCGGATATGTCAGAGTTACACCATGGTAACCGACGGCCTCTTGGAGATCCACCACCAAGCGGAATGCTGTTCACCGCAGCCTGATGTATCAGCTGAGTAAAACTATGAATACCAATGTTATTATCTTGTACAGG